CTTTTGGAAAGTATTTCAGCTTTAAGTACACATCACTGAGGGAAGTCATGGCAGGAACTGAAACAGGGCAGGAACCTGGAGGCAGGAGCTGATGCAGAGATCATGGAGGGGTACTTTTTCTCCTGGCTTGCTCAGCCTGCTTTCTTATAGTACCCAAGACCACTATCCTATGGGTAGCACCACCCACAGTGATCTGGGCCCTCTCGTATCAATCAAGAGAATGCCCACAGGCCAATCTGGTGGGAGCATTTTCTCAGTTGAGGTTCCCTCCTCCCAAACAACTCTAGTTTGTGTCAAGTTGATATAATAATAGCCAGCACACCTTGTAAGCAGGCTATCTGAGCTTTGATTGAGCTCTAATTTGGAGATGATGGGTTCATAAGGCATTCTTTGTGCATACCAGGCCATGCCTTAATGCTCCAGGAGTCCTGGCTGCTTTGTGGGAGGCTCTGTGAGGCAGGATATCCTGAAAACTACAGATCTGAGATGTGATCCATTTGACTTTGGCCTGCATCCTCCTGTGTTCTTTATGTCCCTAGAACTTATGAGTGTTCTGTGTGGGCTGCTACAGCCTTCCCCTGAAGAGCGGACCACTTTGGAGAATCTGATCATAGACCCCTGGGTGACACAGCCTGTGAACCTTGCTAACTACACCTGGGAAGAGGTGTGTCGGACCAACCAGCCAGGTGAGAAGTCTCAGTACCCCCACCCTCAGCTTCCCTCCTTTCCTCGGTGTCTTTGGGATGGGAAGGTGATCAGGTGTCTGTCCTGGATGAGGCTTCTTCTGCCACACTATCCTAGATACGTAAGTTAGAGTCTGTGGCTGACCTGAGATATGGGGCTTGACTGTGCAGAGACCCTTAGATGCCACTTGGGTTCAGAGTGTGGATATGGACCTCAAAGGGAAGACAAGTGCTTATAGTAGCCCTGGGCAGGAGGGGTGGGAAGGCAATGGTTTGAAGAGTCAGCTGGTTGAGGATAAGGGTACAGACCCTGACTGTGGTGCTGTGGGGCAAGATAGGGGGTTGGGGGCATGTCTCTTTAGACAGTGCTCCCTAGTCCTAAGTCAGAGCTCCTGGGGACCAGGCTGGAGATTGGCACTCCCACCCCCAGAATCTTAGCAGAGTCTGTACTTCCAGACTATCCCCATTGGGTTTCAGAAGCCACTTGCCCTTCATTTTGTTTTCATAAATAAAGTATCTTAGAACTTTACTGCTAGTATGCAGTGTGTTCTCTTCTTCATCCTTCAGAAGGTGGCCTGCTGTCTGCTGCAAATCTGAAGCTTGGGAACAGCAGTCCAAGTGAAGTGACTCAAACAAAGGGCTCCTGTGGGCCTCCTGCTTCCAGGGAGGCTTCTGACAGCCAGCAAGGCTTGTATCCTGAGGATTCCTCTCTGCCAGTCAGCTGAACACAAGCTCTCTCCTATTCTCCCCTCAGTTTTTGAAATTGTATGGATTTCAGGGCTTCCTACTTGAAGAAAGGAAGTTGTCAAGAATTGGGATGAATTTCCCTTCTATAGATTCCTGTGCAAGTGCTAAAACAAAAGCCTGTAATACTTTTTTTTTTTTTAGGTTTATGAAATAGACTTGTAACTCATTTTTTTTAATAACCTTGAAAAATCATTCTAGTGTTCAATTATGTTGTACTATTAAAGGTCTTTAAGTTGTGAGCCTCAGAAAGACATGAGAAGTATTTTACTTTTCTATTTTTGTTGTTTTGTTCTTTGTGTTTGTTTTTTTGAGATAGGCTCTCATGATGTAACTCTGGCTGGCCTCGAACTCAACCATGTAGACCAGGTTGCTTTAAAGTCAGAGAGATCTGCCTGCCCTTGTCTCCTGAGTAGGAGGATTAAAGATGTGCCACCATGTCCAGGTCTTTCTCTTTGTGTGTGTGGGTATGTGTGTGTGTGTCAGTTTCTTTCCCACTGACTTGATATATGTGATAAATGTGTGGAGTCCACAGAGCTGGCCAGATAAAAGTGACCAGAATATTTATTTATTTTCTGAAACATTTTCCAAGTTAAAGCTAGTTAATTAGTTAACAGTTACACTGGCTAGGACTGTATGGAACATGAGAAATACTTGATTTTATTTTTCCATTTCTGTACCCTACTTACATGACAGCTAAAAAAGAAACCTGTCCTGGTTTAGTTTGGGGCCCCAGGCCTGTCAACTGTCTATCAACCTATAATGGCCTCTCAGCTCTACTTTGTCTGTGTGAAGGGCTGTAACTGTACCTTTTTGTCTAGGTGAAGGGCTTCAGCTGTACCAGTGTCTGTGTGTGAGGGTTTCCAGGCCCAGTCCCCAGAAGCTAGTGACATTTTAGCCTTTGATTTCAGATTATCTTTGTTTCCAAGAATGAAACATTTTTTCTTGTAGTCTTTAGTACACACAAAACACAAGATATTGCAGAATTGGTTTTTTTTTTTGTTTGTTTTTTTTTTGTTTTGTTTTTGTTTTTGTTTTTTTTTTCCAGACAGGAGTGTAGCAGGCTGAAGATATAAAATCCAGCTTAGCAAGAACCATTTCTATATTAGAAAAAAATAATTAATGCTTTGGGTTATAGTCTGATGCCTTATGGGTGTTCTTTGCAGGAAAAAAACAAAACAAAACAAAACAAAACAAAAATTCCAAAACCCTTGAGACTAAAGTTCTGAGGCAGCAGCTGATAATTTTTCCTCTTGGGATTTCAAGTCTGATTCAAGAATGCAGAGTATTGTGAAGACTAAAGTTGCTGCCAGATTTTCATAGTAGTCCTGTGTTCTAGGTATCACTGTGTTCCTGACCTGGCTGATTTGTTAAGATTCGAGATTATTTTTAAAAACTTGGGGTGGCATAGAAGTTTCTTAGTCGTTAAGTGTATAGGCTTAAATGATACTTATTTAGGAAGAAAGTTAAGATAAAAGTTACCAATTTATTTTACACAGATTACAATTTTCCTGTCCTTTTATACAATCCTTCCATCAAAAGATAGCACTAGGTCAGTGTCAAACACAGCAGCACAAGTGTGGGTGTGCTTATTGATGCAATATCCTTTTTTATGGGCAAAAGCCAGGAAGAAATAGATATGCTTATGACTTACAAATGGTGGAATTTAGGCAGCTGTTGGAATGCAGCTTTTTCTTTTTTTTCCTTTCTTTCCTTTCCTTTTCTTTCCTGCTCCTTCTAACAGGTTCCCAGGCTCTTTGTCCAAACAGGTCTAATATACAAATTTAACGTATACAAATTGGTCTTGAACATTCTGGTGCTTCATCCTTATGGGAAACCAGACCTCTGGGCTGAAAAAGTTATGTGTGTAATTAGAGCTATGTAATTTTTTTCTCTGATTTTATTTCTTGAGCCATGTCCTTTTTTTTTTTTTTTTTTTTAATGTCAGGTGTGTTTGTGCATGGGTGTGCACATGCATGTGTGTGTATATGGTGTGTGGTATGTGTCTATGTGCATACTTGTTACAGTTGGTTGTTCTCTGTAACTTCCTTTGAGGCAGGGTCTCTCCCTCTAACCAGACCTACATTTCTTTTTGGCTAGGCTGCACTCTGTAAGCTCCACTGATCCTCCTGTCTCTTTCCTTCTCAGTGTTGGGATTATAGGCAGGCATGGGACCACACCTGGATTTTTATTTGGGTGTTGGGATCTGAACTGCAATTCTTATGCTTGTGCGTTAATTGCTGAGCTATCTCTTCAGCCTTTAAAAGAACTTACTTCTTTTGGGATGTGTGGTCAGCTATTCATATTGAACATAGATCTTTCCTCCAAAATAATATTTTTTATTGATTCTTTGGGAATTTCACATCAATGCACCCCAGTCCCACTCATTTCCCAGTCTTCCCCTACCCTTATAACCGTCTCTCCAAAAGAATATAAAAACAAAACAAAACAAACAAACAAACAAAAAAAAACAGCCAACATTGTTGCAGTGGAATTGGAAGCTGCAAAAAATTTTTTCTTTTGCTCAAACAGCTTTACTTGCAAATGTTCATTGAAATGAATCATTCATTGGTCTGGTTCAAGGCCTCTGGTTTGAACACAGATTAAAATTGTGTTTGTGTCCATGAAGGAAAAAGGACAGTTTTGGGAAGTGGGTTTGCGCCTTCTACTTTCAGACGGGTTCCTAGGATAAAACTCAGGTCATCAAGATGCTGTGCCAAGTGTCTTAACTGCTAACAGATTTTTAAACAATAAACTTACCAAATACTTTTATCTCTGTCTGGATCCATACATTTCAGGAAGAAATTTGGGCTGTCTTGAGGACTTATTGCTATATTACAGTGTCTGCCAAAACCAGTACTCACCTCAAAGGTGAGCCCAGGAACATGGATTTTGATTTCTCCAAGAGAGTTTTCCACTGTAGACGTAGTTAGGTGAGGTGTTATCAATTACAGAACAAAGCCATAAATCAAGGCATTTAGCAGACACATCGGTGGGGCCCACAGATAGGAAGGTTAAAGCAAAAACTGGAAAAACTAGTTTTTAGATGTCACTTAATGATACTATTAGCTTTTGGATTGATGAAAACCAATGGTCTGAGTATATTTTAAAGGCATTCACAGTCACAAAGCTGTTAGGTTATACAGGGGTGGACAGTGAATGAATTTCAAAAAGGCTATATTTATTCAAAAATAATCAAAATAATTTGATTCTGCAGCATCCTAACTCCATAATTACGAAGTTAGGTTATTTGTCGTTGTAGAATCGTTAACGCGTGCTTTGTCGAGTTAACCCCCCGCCCCATTAAGTGTAGTTTAAAACAGAAAATGATGGTGTGAGCTTCGGGGTAGCTTCATTTTACTTAGACCCTGAAGGGCAGTTTAAAAACCCGGGTAGTGTTGCCAGTTCCTGGGTAGAGATCTCGTAGCTGACTATGCACAGCTAAGGGGAAGAGCTGCATCTGCAAACAGCAAGCGCCGGGCATCAAAAGCACGGAACCAAGGAACTCTGTCGTTGGGAGTGCGGCGGACACAGATCGGGGGCCGGACATTGTGAGCCAGGAAGGACCGCCTCTTCCGGTGTCTCAGTTAAGTTCGCTGCTTGGGCTCCATGGCTGCGTTAGGGAGGCAGGTAAGGTTTCTGTAGCTCCCGGGCTCACAGCAGGGAGGGCCGTGCAGGACGCACTGCCGCTGGTTCTAGGAGGCCAGGTCTGGGCATCTTGTGGCAATAGTGCCCCCGGGTGGAGGGTGCGCATACAGCCTGGTCCTGAGAGAAGCGACTGACTTCTGCTGAGTTTCGGCCAGTGTGGCGCCGATCGGCTAACGAGGCCAGGACTATCGACAGATGCTAGACAGGGTTTTGAGAGCAGTCGGCCTAGTGGGCACCAGATGCTTTGTGTTTAGTTTGTTATGTGCGAATCCCAGACACCGAGGGCTCCTGGATACAATCTGACAGATTCCTTCTGCCCAAAAATTTCGGGGCCAAATTTTGTGGGCCAAGGTTCAGAATATTTTGGCTCGGTAATCTTATCCTGAGGTGAAACTGATTCGTTTTGGCTCTTGTCTTCCAGGTTCCTAGCTGGCACCATCTAATGGCCCTCTCCTGGACCTGTTTGGCTCGGCAGACCCCTTGTCTTAGAGAACTAAAAAAGATGAGTCCTTCTTTGTTGTGCAAACAACTGATTACAGTATCCAATGGAGGGAACCTTCAAGAGCTGCCCAGTGTTAGGCCTAAAAAGCATGTGCAGGAACCAGAGTGCAGGACACATCTTGTTCAGTGTGTTCATGAGGAGCAGAGGACTTGTGTGGAGCTTGAAAAGGTCATCCGTTCCCTCCTGGACATGGGTTTTGATGAAGCCCATATTAATGCCTTGCTCAGTATACAGCCAAATGTCCATCCTCAACAGCTGCTGAACATAATTTCAGAATTTCTGCTCTTGGGTTTGAACCCAGAGCCTGTATTTATTGCCTTGAAGAAAAGTCCCCAGTTACTGAAACTGTCTACAATGCAAATGAGGAGGCGTTCCAGTTACCTTCAGAAGCTTGGCCTTGGAGAAGGTATAAGAAGCAGCATACTTTGTAGTGTGAGAGGAGCAGAAGGGAAAAACTAGCCCACCCTAGCCAGATATCCAGTCTCTTGATATTGTGACATGATGTTGTCATCTACAGATATGTTAGGCTACATTCACAGCTGGGAGGCATGAGCTGAACACACCTTAGTAAGGTGAAACGAGGTAGGAAAGTTTTCTGAGGAGAGAACAGTGTCTTCGAGGAGATGTGCAATGTGCTCTTTGCAGATGGCATTGTAAGAGGGATGTGTGGAGATGAGCACAGGAGGCGAGAACAAGGCCCCATATGTTCTGCCCATTGGGTCTCTAGCTCCAGAACACTGGGAACACAAAGTCCGTTTTTGGTGTGTTAGGGTTGATCAAAAGGTAGTGATATTTGTGTGCATATATGTGACCTCTGCAAAAACATCCCCCACAAAAATTTAAGAGCTGTTGGTTCCAGGTTCCTGGAAAGCTGTTAGAGTGTCCTCCTCCTCCAGCAGTAGTCATTCTTCTGGAGAAGGGAAATGTGCATCTCCAGTGATCTCTACCCACTGACCACTTTTATTCTTTCCATTATTGACTGTCTTGGTAAGATTTTACCCCCAAAGTGGGGAGGCTTAGAGCCTACTATGTTTGGTATCTTTACAGGCCCCCTTCTCTAGAAGATAAGCAAAAAGATAATTATATTCCTCTTGACAAATTGTCTCATACAGTGCTCAGTATGTAAAGCACAGCTTGAGAGGTGAAAATAAAGCCTACACTTTGGAAATTCCTTTTCGCATGGTGGTAAGACAGTGACCAAGTAGACTGTTAGGAAAATTACTTAACAGTCTAAGTGATTATAAGTTTCCAGTTATTAAATTGGTACAATTGTTCATAGGACAACCATTTACTCTTTCTTGTCTAGGATAGCCCTTGTTTATACCATTTATCTGAATATAGTTACTAAGTAACACACAATAAAACACTTGGAGGCCAGGCATAGTACTGCATGCTTTTAAATCCAGTACTCTAAAGACAGAGGTATACGGATCTTTAGGGCCTGTAGGTTCTGGGTCCACCAAGGAGGTTCTGTCTCAAACAACAACAGTAACAAAACAAACAATAACAAAACACTTGGTCACTCTCAGATTACTTGTCATATGTTGTGAATATTGTCCTTGTCATGGTTATTATTACCAAATTCCTTTTCATTGAGGTCAGGCTTGCAGGTCTAGAAATTGTTAGTTTGTTTTATTATAGAGTGAAACAGCAGCCCTGAGCCCCACTGTATAGGAAACTACTGTCTTACTGTTTTTTTTTCCCCCCAGGTAATTGCCTGTGATATTTTCTATATTAGGGAAGCAAAAGGAGACCTAAAATATGAAATTGGCACCTTCTGATAGAAGACTAGAAATAGACAGGGGTGTGGGGAGGGCTGTCAGATCTGTGAAGTCATTTCCATGCTGCATCATGGAAGATGTCTGAAGTGAGCAGTCCTGTGGAGGGAAAGGCTGTGCGTTCCAGTGTGTGTGTGTGTGTGTGTGTGTGTGTGTGTGTGTGTGTGTGTGTGTGTGTGTCTATATTGCTAAGTGTGTCTGGTGATAGTACATGTTATGGGGCACTTGGGGATGACTTCTAAAGTCAGTTGTCCATTTCTACCATGTGGGTCTTGGGGCTTGAACTCAAGTTATCAGGCTTGCTGGCAGGTGCCTTGACCCACTGACTCATCTTCCAGCCCCCAAATGTTGTTTAGCCCTTGACTTTCCGAAACTCCCTAAAGTTACGAGCTTTCCTTTTCTTAATCTTCTGTAGGGAAACTGAGGAGAGTGCTTCACAGTTGCCCTGAGGTTTTCACCATGCGTCAGCGGGACATTGACAGTGTTGTGAAGGTCCTCAAGGAGAAGTGCTTGTTCACAGTACAGCAGATCACTGAAATTTTACACAGGTGCCCAAGTGTTTTTCAGGAGGACCCCAGTGAACTAGAATATAAATTCCAGGTGAGAATAAGTGATTAGGTACATGGTGGCAAGTAGTTCAGGTTTTTAAGTTGAGTAAAGTCAGCTATGTGGATAAGAAGCCTCTGAGTGGGGAAAAAAAAAAAAGTCTTTTTCTAGAATAATACAGCTTGGTTTTTCTACCCTCCTCTCTAAAACAAACCTGTTCTTCAGCTCTACTTCCTTGACAGTGAGTGCGTGGTTCATTCTAGGTCCAAGTAGGTACTCTGAAATAACTAATTTTGAGAAAACTAAAACTTTACTACCCTGGATTTGGCAAATGTGACAGTTGTCCTAAAACTTTAGTAACAGATGTGACAGATAAGGTCAAAAGCTCTTATGCATCTCCGTGGTGGTGGAACACTCCTTTAATTTTAGCGGTCAGCAGGTAGAGGCTAGCAGATCTCTGAGTTTGAGGCCAGTCTGGTCTACATGCTGAGTTCTAGGACAGCCAGGGCTACACAGAGAAATGCTGTCTGAAAAAACAAATAAACGAAAACACTTGTGCGAGCATGAGGACCTGAGTTCAGATCCTCAGAACCCACATAAAAACTGGATGTGCAATGCCCCAGCAGCTCTATGGGGAGATGGGAAGCAGGGACAGGAGAATCCCTGGAGGTTGTGAGCCAGACAGCCTGGCCTTTGGCCACAAGCATGCTGTGACATACTCAAATAGAAACTGTGTGCTCACACACTTTTTAAAATTTCTAGGTATGGTATGATTTCTTTGGGTCTGATTTTTTCTACACTCATGATTTTTATTTCCCTATTTAAAGAAAAGTATATTTGGGCTGGAGAGACGGCTCAGCAGTTAAGAGCACTGGCTGCTCTTCCAGAGGTCCTGAGTTCAATTCCCAGTACCCACATGGCGGCTCACAACCATCTCTAAGGGGATCTGATGCCCTCTTCTGTCATAGACAAATGTGCAAATAGAACACATCATATGTATGAACAAATAAATCTTTAAAACTATATTCCTCTACGCCCCTTTATTTTCGGCTGCATTTTTTCAGCTTGAATTTGGAAATGCCATGCAAACTGTGAGACTTGACACAAATGTTGGTATTATAGAGTGGCTGCTCTACCAATACTAAGTAGACAATTCTTTCTTTAAAGATTTATTTACCCCTGTGCAGGAGTGCTCTGTTTGCACACGTGCCTACATGACAGATGAGGCATTAGACGGAAGAGGGCATCAGATCCCATTGTAGATGGTTGGAAGCCGTCATGTTTTTGCTGGGACTTGAACTCAGGACCCCTGGAAGAGCAGCCAGTGCTCTTAAACCACTGAGCCATCTCTCCAGCCCCCTAGGCAATTCTTTTTTAATGATTTGGACTACAGTTTTGTTTTGTTTTGTTAGTTGGAATGATAGGCATTAGGCTTCTATACATGGATTCCTAAACATGTTTGTATCTTCCAGTATGCATATTTTAGGATGGGACTTAAGCATCTGGACATTGTCAGGACTGATTTTTTACAGTACTCAATAACCAAGATCAAGCAGAGACACATTTACCTGGAGCGCCTTGGACGGTACCAAACCCCTGATAAAAAGGGACAGACACAGATTCCTAATCCTTCAGTAAAGATCATTCTCAGAGTTTCTGAAGCTGAGTTTTTGGCCAAGACAGCGTGCTCCTCTGCTGAGGAGTTTGAAGTTTTTAAAAAGCTGTTGGATCGAGAAGAAGAGGTGTCTGAGAGCCATGCATCTGAGGAGGAGGAGGAAGAGGAAGAAGATGAAGAGCTGCTATGATGGAGGACTGAGATGAAGAGGGTGCAGGGATGCCAGAGGTCATTCTTACTCTCCCAAAGTTTGGGGAGCTTCACCTGGTTCTTGTCAAGCACTTTTAGTCCTAACACTGGACTTTTGATGAAAAAACAAACAAACAAAAAAACACAACAATTTTATCATCTACTGGAGATGTAGGTACATCAAACTAAATAAGGGATTCTTTGTTGTGCTCTATTGGATTCTGTGGGAGGCCCTATTCTATCCTAAAGGACTCAGCTGTTAAAATCCAGGGGATACAACAAGTTTGGTGTCTTTTTCTCTGTTGAAATATGTTGATGCTAATTCTAGAACTATGTAGAGAAAAAGGTGCCTTCTGGCTCAGGAACTACTTTGTATTTCCTTGTAATAAAGATAAAATCAAGAAAATGTTAACATGAGGGCTACTATGTCATAGCACTTTATTTTATTAAAACAAGTAGCAAGTTTTCCACAAAATAGCCGTGTTTTCAGTCTGACATTTCACAGCCTTCTAACTTGGTCAATGTATAGCAAAGTGAAAGGCAGTTGGTTAGTAACGTGTTCTTCAGTTTTGCACAGTCGTCAGGCTAGCAAAACACTTCTTTGTGAGTTGCTGACCCTTCCTGCTTGGGCAGGTTGGCCTTCATGTCGGTTCCTGGCTAGTAGCCACTTCAAGGCCTCTTTGGCTCTGTAGCCTGTGTTGTTAGAGTGAACTTTTTGGAGACCAGCACTGAAGGGTCTGGGGAGTAGTCTCAGGTGGGCATCATCTTTGCCTTCTGCATGATGGAGAGGCCAGGCCCCAGGGCTGATTTTGGTTTGTTGTAGGAAGTGTTCAGATAGCCTGGCATAGATGGCACTCTGGGGAGCATGGTGAGTGTGGAGCGATGTGAAGCACTGTTTCTAGGATGAGGTGATATCTGAGGAGAGGTCTGGTTTGATGGAGTTAAGGTTCAGAAGGGTCAGAGGGCTGAGTCCTAGAAAGTTTCCTCAGGAAAATGCTCAGGGTTGGTGATAGAGAAAGCTTTTTGGTGGTAGAACCAAAATCAGGTATGTTTGGTAGTATTTTTCCCCCAATTGGTGACATTTAACATTCAGGTGAAACCCCTGTGTGGGCCCGTGTCTCCTGTATAGACTGAAAAAAATGCTTACTTGGGAATGACCTTGATCTTCAAGACACCTGACAATTTCTGGAGATATTTTTATGTGTCATGGCCTTGGGAACGTGTGGATAGAGGCCAGATGAAAAAATATCCTACATCATACTGCATGTGAGCGAGCAGGTCCACAGAGCAGTGGCACAGCTGAGGAAGCTGCTCAGAGACCTGGCCCAGGAGTGTGCCTACAGCAAATTGGGATTACAAATGGACTCATAGTTACTTCTGTCTAAAGGGGAGATCTTTTGGATCTGAGATGTGTTTTGTGAGGAGTCAGCAGCAAGGTGTGGAGGCCTTAGTTTTACCTGGAGCCCCACTGCAAAGAGGAGGGTGTTCATAAAGAAAAGCAGTCATCCCAGGAGTCCCCACCATGGCTGGTATGTGAGGCTGGTTAAGACGAGGGCATGTCCTTGCCTGTTGGACTCTCCACACAAAGCAGGGCGCAGCAAGCCATCCTGTCTACACTGACATCCCATAGGCAGTGGAGAAGGGGAATGCCTTCTAGCTGATCTTGACTATGGACAAAACTGAGAACAGGGATGCTCATTCTTTGCTGCTTACTCTTCCACTTTGTGGCATCAAAGTGACCTCCAGTGAATGTAGGGTGTTTGGCCTTTGGCTCCATTAGAACTGACTAGAACCCTAAACCTGAGCTATTCTAATAAGGTAGCCGCTCATCCTAAATTTTGATTAGCAAATGGTGAGCCCAGCACTCAGGAGCACTTCTTCACGTTGACACAAATCTTTACACCTTGACAAATTTTCTGACTGCATTGTGACATTTCCCAAGTGGACAGTGCCTGCTTTGAAGGATTTAATTAGTCTGCTTAAGAAAGGTGTGTGAGAAAACAGAGGCAGCGTGTTTGGAGTGTTCTACACTAATTCCCAGCACCAGCACGTTTTTTCCCCTAGTCCACGTTGGAGTGCTGTGCACTCCGCAATCAGTAGGCTGGCTCTTGGATGAAAACACAGGCTCCAGCTGGCAATGGGAAGGTGGCGTCTGCCCGGTGGGTGAGGGTTCTGAGGTTATTGGTATAGTGTAGGTCTCATCCACTTTTCCAGTGGTGCCACTCCCTCTAGCCTTTCACTGCTAATGCTGTAGCTTATGAGGAGGAGTGGTGACAGGTCTCAGTGCTGCAGTGGAAGTTGACACATGTTTGTAGACCTGGTCTCTGGAGATAAGGTAGTGTGTTTCTAAAGTACAGTAGTGAGTTTTTGACATGACTGTGCCTCCTTCCTGAAAAGGAAAGTTATTTAATACATAGGCTCAGAATTTTTTAGTGAAAATAAAACCTAAAATGTTGTTCTTCAAAGTGTGTTTTTATGAACTCTGGAGGGCAGGAGGCCTCTGGTCGGGATGTAATTCTTGGTGCTGGATCTCCAGTCAGCTCTGCCCTTGAGGAATCAAGGTGTGGTTGGCTTTTCTGATTCTGATCTCACTGCAGGGAGAAGACAGCTGCTTAGAGCCTTGTTGTGGGTGAGACGGAAAGTGGAGGCTTGTGTGAAGTGTGTCTTGGTGGCCCACAGCCATCTCTTGAGGCAGGGGTTACAAGAAGCCTCGAACCCTTGTTTCCTAGAGCTTGCATGCCATCTGTTGCCTTCAGAGTTGAACAGAGCAGCCTTTACTGCTTTATGGTGCTTTTAGGTTTCTGAGCAAGGATCTTGATTGCTTTTTTTTTTCTATGAAAGTTTAGGGGTCTTTCATGTCTTGATGACAACTTGTCAGTCAGGAGATAATTTTCTCTACAGAAGGCTGAAGTCTGGATCATCTCATAAAATGGGCACCTGCCAACTATGGCCTACTGCCTGTTTTTGTAAATGAAGTTTTATTGGAATACAGCCATGCTATCTACATCTGTGACCATGTTGGCCGTACAGTAGCGAAGTTGGGTGGGTGCCAGAGAGGTCATTCCATCCTCAAAGCCCAAAATACTGCCTGAACATCTGTCTGTCCTGCCACCCCCTGAGTTGTAGATCAAGTGTCTCAATTCCATCGTAGTAGTAATTAGCATTTCTTCTTTAGGTCAGTATGTATGAGGAGAGAAGCAGGGTGGAGTTCATCTGCTTCCACACAGCCTTTCTTGAATCTCTTGTGAAAGTTGAGTCCTTTCCTTCTCCATGTTTTGGGGGCTCAAGGGGTCACCTCTCTGGCTCTGGAATCTAGGGGTGGGTTTCTGAACACAGAAGCATCATTGTCCGAGAGCCTGCTAACCCAGGTCACTCGTACACTCACTGCTCACAGAGGAATGACCACAGCTGCAGAAAACAGCCCAGGTTAAGATTACAGGTGCCTCCATGCTTCCCTCACAAGAGTCCTCGGGTATACAAGTCTGGCTCTCTCTCCTCTAGAAATCTGAGGACAAAGCGCTCAGGGGAGACTAATTACAACCAGGAACTTGTCTTTTAGGCTTTGGGCCTTGGTTTCCTGGGTTTTGGAAATTCTTGAGGTGGGCAGTGTTACCAGCATGTGCTGGTTCTTCTGTACCAGCGAACTGAGGCACACCCCTCTTCCTGCCCAGTGTCTCTCTGTGGTGGCAGTAGGCACTGTCTCCCAGGAGACCTGGATTCATTCTTATATATTCCGGGGTGGGGGGGGCAGTGATACAAAGGGACAATTGCTCTCAGCCTGTGACTTTAAATTTGAGTCAATAGGCTGCTGGTCCTCTGCTGACTTCTTGGTGGGCAAGAAGTCTTTTCCCAGAACAGCTGTGGATGGTGAGTTTTGGCATTTTACTCAAGTGCATGAGTTTCCTGTCTGTCTGTTTTCCCTGCTGCTCTGAGAATAGATGTTCTATATGTCAGTATGTGATAAGTAGCTGGGGATTCTCCTTTATTTTTATAAAAATGGACTTTCTGGGTGAGTTCTTTTTTCTATAAATTTATTTACTTATTCAGTGTTCTGTCTGCATATGTGATTGCACACCAGAAGAGGGCACTATATCTCACTATAGATGGTTGTGAGCCACCAATGGTTGCTGGGAATTGAACGCAGGACCTTTGGAAGAACAGCCAGTGTTCTTAACCTCTGAGCCATCTCTCCAGCCCTCTGGGTGAGTTCTTAAAGATGCATTAATATTTCAAGTGACCCATTGCTGTAGAAATATTTTTTTAACCAAATAATTTGTGGACTTTGACCTTGCCAGAATTACATTGCTCACAAGTGTTGGAGGCTGACGTGAAAAGGCGACACTGTGGAGCGGACAGGATCGATCTGAGTGTTGTCAGCAGCTCTTAAAGCAGAGTTTTCACATCTGAAATGGTCAGGATGCACAGGCCCCGCTGCTTGGGCCCGTGTTAGAGCCCACTTTTCAGATGCCCTGCTCTCTGACTGTGCTAACACCCTGCCTGTGGCTGTGGGCACTTTCTTCTGATGACAAGCTTCACCCAGACCTCCATTGCTTTTGGTTATTCTTAGGTCTTTGGGTGACATTTCTCCTTCATGTCCCATAGTGTAGAAGAATGAGGTGATTCACTCCTGAAGTGGCAGGTCTCCAGATATGTCTCTTTTTCACCACTGTAAAGATGTGTCCTGTTCTGGCTCCTCTAAGGGAGAGAAGTAAATTGTCTCCAGCCAGCCAGTCTGTCATTTTTAAATGATGTCCCTTCAATAAGAAGTCATTGTGGGGCTGAGTTCAGGCTATACAGGGGGTTCTGCAGTGTGACCCAGTGTTTTCCAGACTGTTGTGGGAAAAAAATTCCAATGCCCTTTAACATCTCAAGTTCATGCGTGGGGAGGTGGATGGGGCATGCTGGATCAAACAGGCAAAGTTTCTTTCATTTCAACGTTATTAGTGCTTGGAATTCTGAGATCCACTATAACTCTCCCAGTGAGAGGCAATATTTAGGATCACCTGGAGGTTACATGACAGGGCTCCCACCCTATTCTACCAGTAGAATGCTGTTCATAGGGCATGGGGTACTTCCGTAGGTCCTTCCCAGCACCTCCAGGAATGTTTGGCATCCTTGATCCTTCTGCCACCCAGGCCCACTGCCCTGAAGGGACCAGGTGTTTCTTGTGCCTCATTGTAACTGATCTGCATTTCCCTTGAGAGAGAGTGGTTTGCCCCTCCCCCAGACAGCCTCATTTCCAACTGAAAGCAGATTCATATGTGAGGCCAGACCACATTGGCCTCAGACCAACAGACCATGTCTGTTGGGAGGCTACAGACAGGGAATTCTGGAACCTTCCTGGTTGGATCTGTAATAGCACAGTGCTGGGTTTGCACCATCAGTGTTTGATAAAGGACCTCGGTGCTCAAG